TTAACATCAGGAAGGTTGACATCAGCATGTAAAGTCAGCAGACGTAAAACGGCGTCTAGGTCAGCATCACAGACGTGCTGATGCAACACTGTTTTACCGGAACGGTTCCTCAGGTCCAGGTTGATGCCGAGCTTAATCAAAAGATCAGTCATCTTCATAGTTTGGGAGTTGAGGTAATGAATAACGTGGTCGATGTAAGGGTAGTATTGGATTTTTGAATTTAGATTAAGATGAGAGAAAAGTTGAGGTATGAAAATGTTGAAAATAAAGACCTGGACTACATGTAGAACAAATAAAAATTATAGACAGACTAAATAAGAAAGGAATAAGGTAAAAATAAGTATCAGGTGAAAAACTCGATTCCTCGAAGATAATAGCCGAGAATTGGGCAGTAAAGGTGTTCGGTTTTTCATATTAGGACACTGGTTGAAAATACACAGCGTGTTCTCCCTATATCAATTATCCAAATTGAGAGTAAAAGGAGCCCAAAATACCAATAACTGGAAGGATGAGCGATAATTCAAATTCGATAGTGATAAAAATATATTGAAATTTATTAAAAAAAGTAAATTTATCAGTATCAGGACTCATGACGATTAAAGCGAACTAGGCACAAGATACAAACCACGAACGACATAAATAAAAAAAATGAGGATTCACAAATAGTTAATTTTTAAAAATAATATTAAATTTTCGAAGGTATGAAGAAAAAGATGATGTGGCCTTTTGTGTGGTCGTTGTATAGAAATTGTTTGTCTTTTTTTTCGCAACTTGGTCATAATTGTAGGAAGACTTAGAGGAACGCACCTAGTCCGGAGTCCGTTGTATGCATGATCATTTCCAAAGTCGGACCGTGGACATGGTACATTCCCAAACATTTCGCCGGCATCGTCATTAACACTCGCAATTCTTAGCACCATAGTACAGTTCGTCAAAGAGACAAGTGAAGCCCATCCTTAAACCAAACGTGTGCTAAACAGTTGTGATATCCCCTCTTCTGCCCTGGGTTATTCACATTTCCTATATCCTCCTGTAACGCCTTCACTATCACAATTTTACCGTGCTTATTTAGATGTTGTGTGGTGTGCTACTTCGAGCGGTATTAATGAAAATCCTTCAAACTCCACGCTGTCGTTCTCACCCCCTTCACCCTTATGCTGGGAATGTTGACCAGAGTCTGTCATATTGTTAGAAAGTCATTCCCTGGGTTATATCAGTCTTCCCCTTGCCCCATAGAATCCGTCTGCTATCTTCCTGGTACACGTATTATACTCGACCCCTGCCCCCCTATCTGTGCTACTAGAAGCGTTTTTCGCTCAACCCTGCTTCTGGTTGACTAATTCGAGGCTAAAGCCTCTGATTAAGTCTCATTGTCATGCCTTTGCTACATGGATCACGTCTCTTGTAAAACCTACTGTCAGAAAACTCGCTCCAATCGCCGCCGCGTCTATCCTGTCCCTATCCCTAATTCCAAGTCTATTAATTGCCATTCTCTAGTAACTTGTGTGCCACCAGACAAATGTTGTGATACTGCTTGCTTTGATAAGGTTCAATGATGCTAGCTAGTTGGCTGAGAATAGGTTTTACAAGAGACGTGGTCCATGTATCAAAGGCATGACCACGAGATTTACTCAGAGGCAAGAGAGAGACTCTGATATGACCTAGGGAAGAACGTTACAATATGACAGACTCTGGTTAAAATTACCAGCACAAGAGTGAAGGGAGTGAGAATGACAACGTGGAGTGTAAAGGATTTTCATTAATGCGGATCGAATGAGCACACCACACTACATAAAAATAAGCACGGTAAAAATTGTGATAGTAAAGGCGTGATAGGAAGATATAGGAAATGTGAATAGC